GAGGCAGCTGCTCGTGGGCCCTCGCAGCTTTTCCTCCTCAGCCCAAGCAAACATCCTCCTTTTGATATGCTACATGCTCATTATCTCTGCCCCATTTAATGATTTTTGATTGAAGGGTGGCGGGCGCAGTTGCCGAGAGGGTAGTTGAAGCGGCTCCGCGCGAGCAGGCCTACAAGAAAGGCTTTCCTTGTGCCGCAGCCTAAATTTGGAATTTCTTAACAGTGTGTTCTTGTTCTTCACAGCAGATAAGGGGCTGAGCGTGAAATTCTTAATTAAGCAGTAAATAGAGAGTGGGGTGTCAGCAGATGCAGCCTGTAGCCATGGAGACCGAGTCACATGAACGGGAGAGCGGGGACGAAGCGCCAAGCCCGGGGCTCGGCCATGACTGACAGCTGAAGAATCCGACAAAGCTTGTAAACGGGATTAATTAGTTGACTAATTATTTCATAGAGTTAAATGTAACTAAAAAATAAAAACAGCTTGTGGAGTCGGGCTGCCAAGCGCTCCGAAGGCGAAGCCCTCAAAGCGACGTCCTCTCCGCGTGGCTTGCGTGGCCTCTTGGTTTTGGGGGCCAGAAGGGACCCTGGTGACAGCTTTTGCTGGCCTCCTGTAGAGCGTGAACCTCACTCTGTAATTTCCCTAACAGAACTAAGTCATATTTCTCTAAAAGAGGCCCTCAGCCTTCACCTAGGGACCCTGAGTGATGGAAAGTCCACCACATGCCATGACACTTCGCCTTGATGGCTAATTATCCTCATCCCAGCATAGCAGATTGGGGTAGAGATAAAATCATGTATCATGGCCAGGAAGCCCTTCATGTTATTTTGGACTTCTGCCCTCCCAACAGTAGGCAGTGATATTAACCGTAAGTCATAGATACTAGGTACCCAACGCAGACTTATTGATCGTGCTGCTATAAAAGTCCTTGCTGAAAATGTTCAGTGTGAACTATACATGTGAGATGCTTTCATAAATTTCCGCTCATGTACTCTTTGTGATTGTTTCTCTCTGTATTAACATGAGAAACAACAACCAGCTCTTCATGTAATAAAACCAAAAGGAAAAGAAGGCAAAAGAAGGGCAAGAAGTCATAAAATTTCTGCAAAAGCAATACATGCTGATATCTCTTTGATCCAATCTTCCCAAGACCATCTCCACTTTTTTTAAACAGTAGCAACAAGTCAAGAAATGGGGTCATTTTCCAAGCTTCCCCATGCTTCCTTAGGTATGAAAATGCAATTCAGTAAATTCTAACTGAATAACAATAACAATTCAGTTATATAACTGAAATAACACATATATTTTATTTTTCAGTAGACACCAACATGATCTTGGTCCAGGCTTAGACTCAGCGGCTATGTCTGTTTGTGGACTAAACAGGGCCAGGATATGGGTCTCAGTACTGGCTTCCAACCATCTGTGTGGTTACATTATTTGTCTGGTTCCTGGCATTTCTTTGGCCTGGACCAATTCACCCAGATGATGATTCTTACAGATTAGGAGTTCTCACAGGAGAGGAATCATTCCTAATAAGAAATTGGGTTAAATCCAGCCCATTTTGAGAGGTTTAAGCATAGACAGTGCAAAAAATAGTTGGTCCTGAGACCAAATGTGGATGTAGTCAGTGTGTGTAGCCAGGGTTAAGGAATGATGCTCCCTATCTCCCCTCTCAGGTGCACTGAATAATTTTCATTGCTGTAAACCTTAGTTTCATGAGTTGCTTGTGTTCACACCAGCCTCCCCACTAGCCTGCTCTTGTTCCAGTTGCTCATCCCTAAACAGATCCTACACAACAGCACTGTGCTCCATACCATAGTCCAGAAAGCCAGCACGCTCAAAGACCTATGAAACCCTTGGAAGTTTATAATCACAGGATGAATCCTTGTCAAATAATCCTATAGATTCAGCCTATATATGGTTTCACATGGTTTACTGATCATGCATGTGATGGGGGACTGGCTGACACAGGAGATTATTAATGGATTTTAATGTATTTCCCTCTCCAAGACACCAATTCAAATTCAGCTGATGCCACATCACCCACTATGTATGATACATTGCTTCATTAGGCATCAGATAGATCAGTTAGAGGTGGACCTGGTGGACATTTACCGATTTGAGTGGCTTTACCAAAAGACCACACACTTACTTAAACACCTTTGAAATATGGTCTTGTGTTAAAGGCTTTATAAAGTTTGAGGGCTTTGGTTAAAAAGGCATCAGCTCTGTCATGGTTCTTGAAAAAAAAAAAAACCATAAATTGCATCCCTTGTATTGCACTTACCCAAATAGGTTAACTTCCTCAATCTGGTATTGAGATACCAGTCACAACTCTGATGATGACCATAGGAAGGGAGCGATTGGAGAGGTCGTCCAGTCCTTATTCCACAGGATACCATGACCTCAGTATAGGTAGAAAGATTCTTGTGTTCCACCAGAAGGTAGTTCCCCGTCACGAAGTTGCTAAATGTCGCTGAATACTGTAGCAGAGGGAAGCAAAATAAACATACACGTGTCTGTGACTAGAGCTCCACTCTGCAGTGGAGTGCAGTATAACAGAAGGGATGAGGACGGTGATGCTCCTCACTTTTAATGTATTCTTCTATAAATGGTTATTGGAAACAGGAAAGAGAATACAGGAAATTAAACAGGAGATGATGGTAAATGCAGACAAAGTGATCTCTTCTAGCTACCTTAAACTGCTCAGAGGAATACTGTCCTCTGAAAACTATGTTTCAGTATGTCCTAAGATAGCATAAATTTGGTTCTGATCACTAAGCACCAAAGTGAATTTTCATTTGCAATGAGCAAAGTTGTCTTCCCATTTCAAGTTACTTCTGAGAGCCTCAGGTACTGGGTTGTCATATCTGGACCCTGCCTATAAATGTGGAGCAATTTTCTGAGTGCATTTAGCACTTTTTTTTTTTTTTTCCTTTTCTGACCACCCATAAAGATGAAAGCATCTCTCTCAAGTACAATTTACAAATTAAAAAATTACATGTGTTACCTGAAGCTGCTTGCTGACCAAAGGATTGTCAAATGTCAGAGCATAAGTCTCTTTATCCAAGAGAAGAACCACCCAGCCATACAGATTTGATAAAGTATCAGGGACGTAATTGACTGTGGTTGTCTTATTCCTACTGTCAGCCACTGTTAAATTATAAGGCGTGTCTGGAGCCTCTTTTCTGGAGAAAAAAAAAATATATAATCACATTATTTTTCAATCAAACCCATCATTTTTTAACCTTTACATTTCTATTTTTATTTGAATTACAGCAGTATACGCAGGCTCTGTCTCAGAATGTCACTTCATTTGTGTAGTTCTTTAAAAATAAGTCAGAAACAATCTCTGCCTAAAAAGACAAAAAAAAAAGAGAGAGAGAGAGGCAAAAGGTGGAGAAGTAAAGGCACAGAGGAGTGAGGTTGTGCTTGGCTGGAAGAGGCAAACTACATGGAGAAAAGCATAAAGCTCAAATGTAGTTCAAATGTACCTTTCTGATGTTCAGATTTTAAACATTCATTATCTCTTCAGTGTCTGAGTGATCATAGCCACCTTACTTGATTTTTCTTTCATAACCTGCTTCTTCAAAACAAATGTCAAGAAATGTCAAGAGAGAATTACCATTTAGCATCCTCAAGGCTGAAAGTGCTAAAATATTATTTCATTAAAATTTCTATTTTGCACCAAGACATGGGTGGTATTGGAAAGATGTAGGAAGAGAAACATCACAGAAGCTCCCTCCATCTCTCTTAATTCTAAGCACTGAACTAAGGTTATACTCTTTCCGTTTAGAGCCAACAAGGGACATCAGGCTCCTCCAGAGGATGGATCAGGTGTTAGGTGGTCTGAGATATCCTCTGGAGCTGCTGTTTTTCCATGATCCAAATTAATTTGGATTTTAAGACTTCCCTATTACGAATCTCACTTCAGTACCAAAAATAAGGAAGAATAAATCCTGTCCTAGGAATAACTTCCATGCTCCTTTATCACACACATGCATGGACTGCCTACATTTGTCTGATAATTTGGGACATCTTTTTTATGTCGCTCTTCTCTGTAGCACCATAAGAGATTATTCTTCACTTGCAAAAGGTGATTGACACCACCAAAGATGCAGAGAGAGCTCTGATAGAAGCATCCACATTTCCCCATCCCACAAAAGCTCCCACCGCACATTCCCAGTCCTTGTCAGCAGTAGCTACGCTTGTTAAAAAACTGGGATGGCAGCTGCATAAATACATTCTTCACATCTTCTACAGGGAAGAGCTAGGGATATATATCCCAGGAATGCAAGTCTCATTCTCAGACAAGGAAAAACCTTGCTAGCTGGCCTAGGTACCCTAGCACCATGATTCTGCGTTAAAAATGAATGCAGCAGATTTATACATGAATAAAGTACTGCTGCAGGTTGAAGGCAAGTTGGCAATTTCACCTTTAGTCCACTTAGTCACTTTTGGCATTTGAGTTGACACTGAGCTTAAAAAAATATCTCTCTTTTTAACATATCTGAAATATATTTCTAAATACCAGAATATTATCCCCCAGGTAGACATCTCAGCATGTTAGCCAGTGCTCCAGCATGGATATGGTCCAGGTACTCAAGAGAGACAACCCTGAAACTCATTGCATCTAGAAAATTTTCTTTTTGTGTCTGCAATTTTTGGCTCTTTTTCCTCTTACTGCTTCGGAGAGGATATAAAATAGTAGTCGTCCTAGGGGAGGATTGCCTGTACATTTTTATTTCCCTTTTTTAAGTCAGTTCCTTTTTTTCTTGCTATACTGGTGGCTGTCACTTCAGCAGAGGATGCTCAGGTTACCCAGAAACATTCAGCAGAGAAACAGCAGTGGGAAACAGGGAAAGGGTGAATCAGCAAAGAATCACTCAACCAGAGGATATTGGCAGACCAATGAAACTGATTGGAAGGAGTTTATAAGGCTTAAACTGCTTTCGTACTACTAATAAACCTCCTCTTACAGGCATTAGCTGGACCAGGGTATTAGGCTGCTAATTAAGCAAGTAAATGACAACAAACAGATTATTGTCACAGTTATTGGCATCTGCACAGGTATTCAGGAAAGCATTTCTAGCAATAGTAGCACATCTCATATGATACTTCTATATATCAGAAATATTTTTTTGAGTTGCAAAGGTATACAATGCCATAACAAGGGACAGAGACTCATGCCCAGCCTCTGTGCAGTATGAATTCTTACATTTTTACTGCACTCTTCATGCCTGGAAAACCCTGGTGAGATTGTTTGGACCACTTTTCCCAGGGGCTTCCCACACTACCCCTGAGAAATTATAAAGCTAGAGAAGAAAACCAACAATCTCAGGGTCCTGGGCAACATGCTCTAGGTGACCTTGCTTATGCAGGAGGTCGGACTAGGTGATCTCTAGAGGTTCCTTCCAACCTCAGCCATTCTGTGATTCTGTGAATCCTGCTTGGATTCAAGGAGGACAAATCACCTGATTCATCTGCCAGGAAGGTAGGTGGCAATTCCACACTATCCATGTTGACCTCCGTGGCAGCAAATGAGATGATCAACTGACTGGTGGATATCAATTTTAATGTGGGATTATAAAGTGACCTCAAATAACTATCTTAAACTGGACCACTAACTTCTAGATGGCTAAAGCTAAGTGAAATACATCTTTGCAATATGCCCACCTGTTACAGGTAAGTTCTCTCTCTAAAGAGATGGAAGTTAGGCTCGGGTTTTGGTTAACTCAGACACTACCAACTTTGCTTTTTGTTTTTGGAGGAAGGCTTTGCATAGTTTCTTAGTAAGATACTCTGGCTTCCCTGACCTACATTGGGAAGTCAATTCATGACCCAGGAAGGAAAGGGAGTAGGAGAGAAAGTTTTCCTGACCTTTTATGGCCTTACATCTCATGATGCTGGGGTTTCCTCAGCCTGGAATACCGTGTCCCTGACTTTCACATACCTTGCTACCCACAAACACACCCCGTGCTCCTCATATAGTGCCAGCACACAGAAACAAGTATTTTAGAAACCTAAAAAACTTTGTAGCTCTGTGCAAAAGTTAATTTCTGCAAGATAACAATGAGCCTCAGATTACATTCCCCTTGAAAGGATGTCAGCACGTTTAATTTTTTTTCACCTAAATGCCAAAAAACACCAAAATGGAAGTACTCTGCTAATGGAATTACCAGCCACAATTAGCACCATTTCCATTTGCCCTAAATAGCCAGCGATTTCACTGTGCCCTAAATAGCCACCAATCTACCTCTCTTTAATGTTAATGAAGCAGAGTAGCGCTCACACATACCAGTATTTCTAATTCAGAGGATCCAAGGGAGCCTGCACGCATCATTAGTGTGGAGAGCTTCATTATCAAAGGAAAGAGCCTTCCCCTGAACTTCCCCTGGCTTTATTTGAAAGCAACTAGGAGGCAATGGTCTTAATGCAAAATTAACCCTCGCTTTAAACTGCTGGAAGCCCTTACAAACTGTAAGGAAAAAAAAAATGGATGACACATTGAAAAGGCAGTATTTTTATATTGAAGCAGGTTTCAATTAAGGAGCAATTTGCTTTAGAAATATGGCAGGATTACTAGATAGGACTTTACAGTCTGAGTAACAATTTACCAATTGTGATCGCATAAACTGTTATGTAATTTAGCTCAAGTGCATCGTGCGGAACTGCTCAACAGAGATGGCCCACAGAGGATTTGTTAAACCAATCAACAACATCAAGTAGAACAAATATTAACTCTCCTGTTTATGTTTACCGTTAACTTACTTATCCTAGGGGATATATCTCCGGGTCCATATCTCTGTGTATGAAGACAGACATTGTGTTTGACTCTAAATGCTTTCTGTTTGATACGTTTGTGTAATAATCCATTATGATTATCCCTCTCCTAAAACAGGAAACGATATAGCATCTAACTTCAAATGGGACAACAAGTGTTTATATCAACAGTCCAATTTATTGTTGGACAAATGGAGGCTAATTCCAAATTATGACCATAACAAACACTTTACAGGTTTGATGCTAGGCCCAAGAACAGTTCATTTTATTCTAATTGCCAAGAATCAGAATTTTCAGCTGTTTTCAGTAAATGTGTGTGTGTGTGTTGAGAAATGAAGGACAGGATTCATAACTGTCTTGTATCACGAACATTAACCATTAGTGAATTTTTGCAGGGGTTCTTTTTGAAAATAACTAGATCTTTATCTCTGGGACCTTACTGTGAGGGTGGCAGAGCACTGGAACAGGCTGCCCAGAGAGGTTGTGGAGGCTCCTTCTCTGGAGATCTTCAAACCCCACCTGGATGCCACCCTGTGCCACGTGCTCTAGGTGTCCCTGCTGGAGCAGGGGGGTGGACTAGATGATCTCTAGAGGTCCCTTCCAACCTTAAGCACTCTGTGATTCTGTGGGTGCTGGATAGACATGATGGAATAGGCCTTCCAAATGTGAAGTAAAAGAAGAATTGAGATGATCTCCTCAAAGCAGAGATGATTGTGACTGACAAGCCAAGACGACTTCATTTAAATAAATCTTTGAGTTTCCAATAGCTGCCTGCCTCATCCCTCTTCCTCAATCACTTCCCCAGCTCCTGTGGTTTACAGGCCGGTATTCTAAGGGAAATGAAAATCAGATACAAATTTTAAGCTGGAAACTGCTCAAAGTGGCTAGTAAGCAACCGGGGCAGACATCTCTGAAGCGTGAGCATAGCAAAGACCTGCAGTTGACAGCTTCTCATCCTACCTACCCTGCGGGATTTAGCATGGATTTGAACACTTTAATATGGTCCTCTAAAAATTGACAAGCTAGGGCTTATAAGTTACGACAATGTGCCCCAAGTGACAGACCCGTCTCAGACCTATCTATCCCATAACAAACATCCAACTGTCTTGTCAGCCTTTTCCTTGCAAGCAAGGAAAGTGTTGAGTTCCTTAATGCTAAATATGCCTCCCTGCACCCAAGCACATCCAATGGTCCGTCTGAGAGGCAGCCTTGAGGACACATCTCATCCTGCATATTCATAACACTGAATATCATAATGCAAGACCTGCATCTGCTGCCAGTGCTGCAGGCTGCAGGAATAAAGGTCCTGCATTGAGAACCAACCTTCTCTTGGCTGCTTTAGCTGGGTGAGCCAGATGTTAGAAACACAACACGCTGCAAGACCTGAAGTTTATCTATATCTGCTGTGTTGCTTAACTAACAGCCAACTGTCAACGATTAAATATTTGCCTCTCCTGTCACATCACAGGCTGTCTTGTGAGACCTGTGCATGAACACAGTCCTGTATGCAGGACCAGATTGCTGAGTGACAAAGTGTGCTTGTGAGGGTGTTTCACAGCGGGTGGGTGTTCATCTGAAGGCACCACAGTAAGCAAATATCAAAGGAAAAGCAGAGCTAGAGTAACCACTTGAACTCTCTTCCAGACTCAAAGACACAGAGGCAGGGGGTATGCTATTCTTTTCACACTAACCCATCAAGGGCAGCTGGGTTTGCAGCAACTGAATGCATGCACTACAGGAGAGGATATTAGACCAGATTTAAGAATTAAGGCTATAAAGAAGAAAGTTAATCTTTTCCTCTGCAGCAAGCTAGGAAGAGAGAAGCAATAAAAGGCTTGAACTACAAGACTGGTGCTGAGCAAGAAGTCCCATGTTTCCCCGGTGAGAAGGAGGAAGAGAGGAAAAGGGAACAAGAGGCCACATTCCTCCTGGTGCCGTGGTCTCCGCGTGTTTGGAACTGCCTTCGCTGCAAGGTGCTGCCTGTCCAACGATTATTCTAACGCTTTCTTCTTGTAAAAATTATGCATAATGTGAGGAAACTTTTAAAGTCACTTAATCATGTTATGACAATTTTTTTAATGAAAATTTGTTTTAATATTAATAGAGACTCATATTTTCATGATAATATGGGTAGCGGTGGCATTTGGAACAGCAGTATCTAGCCTGCAGCCACACTGCTCTGTGCCATGGCATAAGCTGTTCTTCACAGTACTCAATAACTTTCCCACATATAAATTTATAAAGACTTTTATAAGCTTCAATTACATTTTTAAAAGACATAAAAACCCTCTTCAAAGCGTGCTTAAGTGACACATTAGTTTAACTTTCAACTGGACTTGATGAGGAAGGATTTTGCTATAGCAATGCAAGCTTAGAAATGGATCCCCATTGCTCTGGAAGTTGTTCAGTAAAACTCTTTAGGGAAGCAAGTCAAGACATACTACATATACTTAGTGTTTTTCACTAACAGAGAAACAACTCCAAAAAGCAAATATACTTTTTTTGGAAAAAAGAAAAAAAAAACACCAATAGACTACATCTACACTGGTAAATGAAACAGCATCAAGATAAAGACTTAGACATTATACTGTAATTATTAAATTATTAGAATTTAATGTTTTTGGTCCTAGACATACTTTTGGCTTGCGCCACCCAGCCCTTTCCCAGACAATTACAATGTGGGGAAACACTCCCAAAGATGGGGTGGGTGAAATTTCCTTCTTATTTTGGAGCTTAGAATATTAATACTATGGTCATTGTCCTTGTGGCTAACCTCACCCTGAGGTTGCTGTGATATAGGTAGCCACAGAGTAACAAGACTTTTTCCTCATCTGCGAGCAAATACTGTTTGCTTGGGTGTTTCAAAACCCATTACGTACCTCTGCCTTTAAGATTTTTGGAACTGGAGTTAAGCTCTAAAACTCAAGCTCTGAAATATCATGGAAACATAAAAACACCATCTCAAGCTCCTCACTATTTCACTTAGGAGCACAGAAGATGTGCTACTACAGACCAAAAGATAGATACAGAGCATGGGAAATGATGCTGGCTCATTGCTATTGCCTGGAACTTCCTCTATGCACAGTGTGACCTCCTGCCAGGGTGAGGATGCTCTTGTAAGGATCATCAGTCTGAGAATCAGCAAGCGTGGGAGCAGTGTCTATAGCTTGGGGGCTGTTTGCTCGTGATTTTAACAATATCCCTGTTTTCCAGATTACAGGGATGAACCCGCAGTCCTGCTGGAAAGTAGAATTAGGAACAAGCAAGTTGCAGATAGGACAAGTCACATAGTTCGGGGTATGGTAGTGCAGCTCAGAATGCGTTCTTCCAGATCCATTCTTAAATCTGTGCCCTTGACAGTCTGAATAGATCCAAGCACACTACTTTCATCTTTCTGTTGAGATTAGAGGAGTGCAAGAAACTGCACTGTTAGGAAATTCTTCCTGTCACCCAGAATAACTTTCTTTTTCTCTCTGCTAAATTTCTGACAATTTTTCCTAACCTTTTTTTTTATTTTTTTTTTGTATTAATCCTAAACTATTCCCCTTCTATTATGAACACTCTTCAAATATATCTAAACAACATATCCAGACAATATTCACCCATTTGTCCTCCTCCTTCACTCCCCATGCTCTGGTCCTACTGTGGGTATTGTATTATGGACTTGCATCCTTCATTCCTTCGGGCTCCTTCCATTCCCTTCCCTGTTCCAGCTGCATCTAAAAGAGTTGTCCCTGTGACCAAAGTCTCCCTGACCCACCGTGTCGCCTGCTCTGATGCCTACTGATAGTGTTCCAGCTTAAAAATCTAGCATATTCAATTTTGTCTTCTATCCAGCACTCTATCCACTAAGTAAGAATGCTTCCTTAATTCTTAATCTATTGCAGACTTCCACTTTAGTTAGGAGAACCAATAATCACATGCGAAGCCTGCAGGTAACTGATAGTTTTACATTTTTCCCCTGTTTAATGGAGATGTGATTTTTTTTTCTCCTCTCCGTTTGGGAGGGAAACTTCTCCTCCTTTCTCTAAAACATGAATTATAAGAAAGCCATGAATTATTCACAGCTATCTGACAGAGCACTTGAGCATTGCTGCCTATGTACTACTAACCTGAAACAGCAGAAATGGTTCAGATTTGTACTTTAAAAAGAAAGTGAAATGTTGAGCAGGGCATTGGGAAGAGAAGCGTGGGAAGAAAAGAAAAGAAGGAATGATGTTTTGATCATTTTTTTCCCCCACCCTTTACTTTTAGGGACAGAAATTCACAAGTGTCTTCCTCGTGTAACAGGAATGGTGGTGGTAGTGGGCTGAGCAGCATTTCTCCACTGAATCCTTTTAGCTGCTCAGAATCAGCAAGTTGAACAAATCCAACTCTCGGAAGCAAGTGTGGAAACAGAAGTGAGCTGGGACGGCAATCAGAAGGTGTACAACTGTCAAAGCTGATGGGAAAGACCTGGATGTATCCCAGGATACTATTTTATATGCATTTTTATCTTATTTTTTATGTCTAGCTGAAGAATTTTGGTGATTTTTTTTTCTTGAAATATATATATGTGTATTGTCAAAGTTTACATTAACTTGAAAATATTGTAGTGGATTTTCAAAAATTTTAGTCTGAAGGGAAAACAATTACCCAGTTTTGAAGAAAGCTCTGCCTTTCTTAATAACAAAAGCTCACTCCCAAGACTGATATATACCTTGTATTTGCCTGATTCCATAATGATGATGGAATATAATCTGTATAGACTGGAATATAGTCTACATAGACTGAAACAGATTGCTTAGGCAAATAGGACTGAGTCAGTCTCAGCAGAGTCCAAAGGCCTGAACTGAGCAAATTCACCTCTCAGCAAGTAAAAGACAAGATGAAAGACTAGGAAGTTCTGATGATGTAGGCAAAAACACATGACTTCAACAGACGTGAAGAAACCTACCTAATGAAAAAGTTTTAATTCACTACATCATGAATTTACTCCATCTTTTAGATGTTATGACTGCTCATTACATGAGTACTGGGCCCATAGAATCATGAAATACCAAATCCAGTATCAGTAAGAAACTAATACTGATGATATCTAAATTTGTACATAAAATAAAGCAGAGATTCACATGAAGGACAACTGGCATATGTAATTCTTACGACTTTCCATACAGTTAGGTTCTCCTCTCTAAAAATGCAATGACTACATCCAAATTTCTGGTTGGGAATGGTCTATGGGCTGTCTCTCATATCATGAGAGGCGATTTCAGAGAGCTCTTGGGACTGTGCTCAGACCAGAGGTTTTCTAAATATAAAGCATGGAAAGAGGCAATCATATCAATTTTTCAGAAATGGAATGGTTACTTACAAATATATAGACATACGGTGAATGACAAGGTCCCTCTTACATACGCTGCCCCTGGAAGCTTGACTGAGGTTGGCACTGGCTGGACAAGACGTCTCAATGATGGCCGTGGAAGGGAGGAGACAACTTCCTTCATGCCCTGTCACAGAGCCATCAAGATCCTCAAGGACAGCGGCGTGCGGAAAGGGGAAGGACACTTGGTAAGGCGCGTTGGTGAAAGTCAACTGTTCGGTGCTTACTGTGAACCCACCTGGAGAACAAGCAGTAATTGAAAAACAGGGACTGTCCTCTTCAAGTAACAGTCCCAAGGACTTGGAAAACCAAGGTGTTGGCTTCCCTTCATCTTTCCTTTGGAGAAATGACTGCTGAGTCAGAAAGGAGGAGCTTCAAGTTTCAAAAAAAATAGAAAAAAAAAATGGAGAAATAGCTGGTTATAGGAACTGTGATGTTCTGGACAAATCCAGGTCCCACTTGTCCAGCACCCTGTTGTGACAAAGACTCATGGTTGCAGCCTCCTCTGATCCAGCTGCGGTTCTTGGCTCTACCTTGAACTCTTGAGTGACTCCAAATACTTCTTTGCAGACCCCTTTGTCAAAATTTACAGTCCCCAAAACCCTGATCCTTGCAGCTCCTTTATTACTTTGCTTATAAAATAAATTCTTTGGAGGGTGAGGTGGTCTATCTATGTGTTAATTATCTAACTGTGCATATGCCTGGCACAGTACCTGGCACAATAAAGCCTTGGCTGAAAAGTTTGACTGGAGGATCTCTTCACAACTGCAACATGGACAGTGACAAAAAGGAGAAATGCTCATCAGGACTAAAGCTCAGAAAGTTTTCAAACATGTTATTATTTCCAGAAATGTCAGGAAATCACTGCCCTACAAATGATAACAAGTTGACTTTGGCAAGAGCTTTCATGAGCTACATTTGATTAGTATTTGACCATCA